CAACCATCACGCTTCGGTGATGATGATAGGTCAGATCAGGGCTTATAACTGATGCATGGTGTTAGGCTGTACCATCTTACGTGTACCTGGCTACAAACTGCTGACTATGAGCACCCCAGACAGTGAGCAACAGTGTACTGACAGCCAAGCCTCCAAGGTTCCTGTGGCATGAAAGCTTTTCTCACATTCAACAGCTTAAATCACCTTACTAATCAATCAACTCTCTCACTAATGATGTCTTTTGATGCTCAATACATTAACTTAATATGGAATTATCACAGTTTCTTTGACAGAACCAATGTGTGGTAGGGTACTGGAGGTTTATGGATGTATTGTTCAAGACAAAAGTAAGAATAAGTGTCTAAATGTCTGATATAAGAAATACTTAATTCAAAAAACATGAAAAAATCATGATTAAGAGCTTTGCATGAACAGTGATGCTCTACGTCTGTAAATAGCTCCAGCAATAAAAAAAACAGACTAAACAGCAAACTGCTTTTGCAGAGATCAGTTTGTCAGGACAGCTCCAATATGTAAAGCAAATATTTTTTAATTATTAATCTCTCTCCTTTGTTTTCCTTTATTAATTGGTACTGACAGCATCTGACAGCATGGGTCAAGACAAATTACACTTTTAGGACAGCTGCTTGTCACATTAAGAATACATGGTTTAACATCATGCAAATGGGGTTGTTTTATGCAGTAGCTCTACAGGCTATTTTTATATTGAGGAACTGAAGGTAGACTACTCCAAAATGCAAGGAAGCACAATACAAAACATAAGAGGTGCAGAAACTTGAAATGGGATTTCAGGCTTAAACAAATAAAACACTGCTGCCCAGAAATTCTAAAACAGATTCTGTTAATGAATCAGAAAAGAGTTTAGGAATCATCAGTCAATCTGACATGCAAATGAATTGTTTAACATTAAATGCTTTATTCCTTTCTTCAGTCACAGTTTATATATCTATTAATAACTAAAGTAAAAATGGGCTACATATGTGTGTACTCTTTGTTGCCATACTACAAATTTGAAATTAATAGTGAAATCACTCCATGACACTTAGTGCAACTCCACATCTTTCTCCGACACGCTTTATACTGTAAAGAGCTATATAAGTGTATGGAATTAATAATAATATTATTAAATATAGATCAAGCATATAGATCTACAGGCACTGTTAAAATGAGCATCCACAAAGAAAGCATGCACTTATGCACATAGCAATGGGCTTTGAGACAAACTTATACTGCACCCCTGAGAATGCAGTGGGAGAATCTTCAGAAAACTCTTACACTGTTTAAGTGCTTCACTTGGGAGAGATCTGTCAAGTGTTTGTTAATCCAAGACAAGAGATGGGGACAACTGGAAAAAAACCATCATACACAAAAGAGATGACTAAATATTGCCTGGGAGCAATAACAAAAATAATAATCCTGCAACTGTAATGTAGTACTGCAGAACTTCCAGTCTTTTCCAAGCACAGCTCTGTATGCTACACACCCCCAGACTCCTAATTATACACATCTGCACTCCTCTGTTTTAGTCCATAACAGCAATAAATTTAAGTAAAGAACAAACAAGATGGTTTTCATTAAACTGCTAATACTGTTTGCTGTCAGGTTTAGACTTTGCAGGCTTGGCAGCTCTCAGTTTTTTCCAACAGGGGATTCTGGCTGCCAGAGATTGATCCTGAAATAGATCTCTGACCTCTTACATTGATTCTCCTATTGAGCACTGCAACGCTTGTTCTACTGTATAGAAAACAAACCTGCGGTTCACCAGTCTGCGTGACCTGCTGTGGCCTGCGCAGGCTGTGAAATATTTAACAGTGACCATCCTTTAAAACAGGCAAATTGATGCTAAATAAAACATAAAAGCCAATAAAGACAAACAGCGAGACCCACAATGAGAGCCCATCTGGCCCATGTTTATTTTTCAGAAGCAGGAAAATATAATGGACTGCAATTCATTTTCTTTCTTATCGCAAACAGGAACTGATTGTGGCCAAGAGGTTCCAGAGCGTGAAACCGTTGATAGCTTAGACAAATAAACCCCAGGACCATTTTGGGCTGGCGGTGCACACATTTCTGAGGTCTCTGCTGTGTTTTTTTCCTACAGTGTCTACTGTGTCTATTATTGACTTACATTGCAACAGGCTCTACTATGCAAAAATGTAACTAACATGTTAACAAATTAAAAGATACGGGTTTTTAAACAAAACTTAAGTTTGGTCTGCAATAAAGCCATAGCTTCGGCCTTACTCCCACACAACTCACACATTCTTTTAAAAGTGCTCACTTTGCCCAGACTGACCTTTACTTGTGAACTGAAAAGCAGTGCAAGAACGGGATTTATCATTGGATTATGAGAAACAGGGATAGTCCAAGCGCTGTTCATCCTGATGTTGCAGTGGTCACTGCATAGGCTCTGCGTTCTGTATCATACTGCAATTATCATTTTGTTTTAGGGTGTAAAGCACCACGTATAGCACTGCCAAAAATGAGCTTTGTTGAAAAAGCCTTAGGATACTGATAATACTTCTTAAGTGACTCCTCCGCACAATTTAGCCATTTTGATGCACATGTATTGATGCTTACAGAAGCTGAGACCAGCTTTATAATCACCTACAATTTGTTTTGGCAGGTCCTGAACTACATTTGAATCCCTGAAAAACCACGAGATAAATCCTCTGTCAGCAGGCCAGCAGCCCCATGTCCTGACCCTCTTGGCACACTTTCTGGGCCTGCTTTTCACCTGCCATACAGCCGTCACAGACTGCACGGGAGCTGAGAGAGATGCTGCAGCTCAGTGAAAGCCACCATGCTGTACCTTATCCTTAACCAAACACCATTTCTCGCCCAGTAACGAACGCCCTTGGCTCTGGCACCAATATAGAGGGGCTAAAAATAAATCCTCTAATCCAATGTGAAGCCTTGGTTTTATTTGTGACTTCAGGTTTTGCAGTTCAGATTTAGATGTAGGTGGTAAGGAGTGTACCAACCAGAAGGGCTTCATCTATGGTATCCTCAGGCTTATCCTCAGTGCTGCTCTGTGCCACATGACCATTTCTGCTGCTCTTTTCTCATTGCTTCTGGTCAACCAGACAACCAGGGACTCATGGGTCACCAGGTGACGCAGTTCAGTCAGTCCAAAGCTGGAAGGTTTGTTGTGAGTTCTACTAGTAAAATTACTGTAAATGTTTTACAGTATTTTACAAGTAAAATTACTCCCACTACTGAGAGATAGGCTAAGGGTGGCGCAGGTGGACACTCCCCTGGTGTCCTGGATTATAGACTATCTGACCTGCAGGTCATACTACATAATGTGGTATGTATGGCTACAGAGCTGTGTGTCAGAACAGATTGTTAGCAGTACTGGGGCTCCACAGGGGACTGTCCTTGCTCCATTCCTGTTCACTTTTTACACCTCTGACTTCAAGTACAACTCTGAGACATGTCATCTGCAGAAGTTTTCGGATGACTCTGCAATTGTGGGGTGTATTAGTAAGGGGAGGGAGGAGGAATATAGGAGCTTGATTACCAACTTTGTGGAGTGGTGTCATCTTAACCATTTCCAGCTAAACACCAGCAAGACTAAAGAAATGGTCATGGACTTTCGAAGGGCTGCTGTAACACCTCAATTTCCCTTCGGGATAAATAAAGTCTTATCTATCTATCTAGCAATTCATTCTCTTATTCAGCATGAAGAAACCGAGGTACCTGTCTCAGTTCAATGTGCGTGGGCAGTGGATCTCTAGATGGGCACACAAGGAAACATGATTGTCCTTGGGAACCTCAAGACAGATGATTCGGTGGGATAAATTAGTCAAATCTAAAATATGCTATGCATTTGATAAGCCTTCTTTCTTTGTATTACTGCTGCTCTTTCCAAAATGGATTGCTTAGGAGAATAGAAGTTAATTATTTTTAAAAAATATTTATGAGTTCAGTAGTTTTACAGAAGGAGAAGTGTTCAATAGTTATGAAAATGTTGTGATTGAAGAACATGGCTACTGTAATCACACAAGAGTCAGAAATCAAGTCTAACATTAACATAGGGATTATGTTAGTCCCTCAAAAGTAGATTCACAGATTCACACGGAACTAAAAAAGCAGAGTACTTCAATATTCACTGCACTTGTGCATATCTCCTATAGTATTAGTCTGTCGGCAGTTTTTTATCGCAATTTGTGCATGTTCAGGAAAACAATGTGTATTATGTAAAAGCACCATCTCTGGTCATGTTTTCTAATTTTACTGAAAATTTATTGATCTTGGTGAAAAGTTGTCTGACGTTCAGCAGGTTACTTGACCTACTCTGCTTTAGGTCAACTCTGATCCCCTTGAAAAGCAGAAAGAGTCAAATCCTCTTTGTTACAGAACATCAGGATGCAGATGAGAGGAGGCCTTTCGGCCTGTCCTGCTCATATGGGTTCTCAGCACTCCAACAGCATCAGCAGTGTGGAGTGGCTGTTGGCCTCTGGGCTTGTAACCAGTACATTTATGACTTCAGATTCAGAGTGGCCACACTGACACACTACTGTGGTATACATCTGGATCTGGTGTTTGCTTAGTATTTAGGTCTATACAAATCACCCTTGACATAGTAGCTCTACTAAAGTAAAGTAACTAAAATGTTTGGTAGCTTTACTAAACTGTCAAACCAAACTGTGCTTACTTGTAGAATAAAGTCCTACCTATTCCATAGCGCAAAAACATTTCAGGAAACTAATACTATTGAGGATACTATTGAAACACTCGTTTTACTTCGCCATGCAGAAATCTTACCACATTTCTTGCAAAGTTAAAGCACTTTCAGTTGGTACCTGGTGTACACAGTATATAGCACATCATGCCAAAGAAGAAGAGACAATCACACTGGAGCATTGTTAAGTGTATAAGATCCACAGAGATGGAAAGACAGAAATGTTGATGAGAGAGCTCCATTATGCTTTTTCATGGCCGTTTCCCAAGACTTCAGAAGGAAGGTTCCTTACCTCGTACAGTGCGTTCATTGGGCCTCAGGAACCACGGTAACAGCAGAAGGTAAAGAAGGTACACTAACGACAGGGCATTGTAGCGGAACAGGCAGGCTGAGGAGAGACCAAGAACAAGATTGTTAGTGTCAGTCAACGGCACACCTGCTTCTAGCTTAACCTGCTGTTACTGCTGTGTAATTATTGAAACATTAAAATCTTAGTTTTTACAATATTTATCTTTTTAACCAAATAACCATTGGAAATCTATTTTTCAATTTTAACCATAATAATATTTTTAAATAAGCATGGGAATTCTTGTTCTAGATTTAACCATCTCAATATTTATATAAATGACTGAAACTGAATTTTTTTTTGAGACAGTCTAGTATTCTGTGTCCCACAGTAGGACGTTTGTCCCTTTTAACTACAGAAACATATGAACAATCTATGCCCAGAAGGATCTATGCAATGCAAAACAATCTGTGCAGCACAAGTGTGATGAAGATATGAAAGCCCTCTGATCCAAAGGCAGTGAGCAGTGTTCTTGGACTACACAGTGCTGTGCTGTGAAGTCTTGCCAGGGGTGGGGAGGTGTACAACAGTAGTGTCTAAGAGCAGCAAACAGCAAGACAGCTCCACACACTTCAGGAAGAGGCTTTGATCCTCACAGCATGCTACACCTTGGCTCTGCACCTGAGAATTTAAAAGGCTCCTGTATTCTTCCGTCAGATATAATTTTATCCCCACATTTAAATAGTAGTCTTCAGACATCAGTGGTCTGATCCAATCCCTCATCAATAGGCCACCATGTCTATAGATTCAATTCAGCTCATTGGCTTAATTTAACAACATCTCCCAGCTCTGGAGATACCAGTGTTTTAAAGAGACTTGGAAAACCTGCAGACACCACCAGCCCTCCCGGACAAGGAGAGGAGACCTCTCTAGATACATCATGGCCCTCCAGACACCCTGAAACCAGAGTGAAAGGGAGGGAAAATAAAGATACAACATGAGACAGACCCTGGGAAACTGGCCCACAGCAAAGTGTGCATGGTGTAAACACTGCACTGCGAATAAATTGTAAATATTTAACGTGGAAAACCTTCATGAAGGCGGAACAACTTTGAGGTCACATGACCTCTAGCCAGACAATTCCAAATGTCTGTTCAAATCGAAGTCCATGACTGGTAGCACAACACGTAGGTCAAGTTACTTGTTCTTAAGTACAGCTACAGTACTTAACAGATGCATACTTTAGAGGTAAATATGCTTTATAGGACAATTCAGGGAAAAGAACAGGGCTCCAGTTGAGTTTCATTAGAAGAGATTTCTTATTTCACAATTGTTCATATTTTAAGAAGTGTGACTAATTTTTTCTTTGTTGCTTCACATCTGTTGGTAAATATATTCGTTCATCTTGACATCTGTTCCACTTCTCGTCCTAATATTTGCAAACTAATACATTAAGTAACTCAGTAGTTGTCTGGTAACCTTGGGGATAATTAAACTTGGCTAACAATAATGCCTTGAGCTGGTTTTCCATGCTGGCTGAATGCAGCTGTTCCTCAGGGTATCCAGGAGCTACTGCTATCTGTTGCATGAGTGCAACACAATCTGTATGAAACTCAGCAAGCAACACAGATATTTAATAAACTCCCTTATTATCGGTATTGGTATTTACCATTTTTACTTCCCTGAACCTTAACCCTCTCTGGTTCAATCCCTGTCCTACTGCTAAGACTTTTTTATTTTTAAAAGCGATTGGGCAAACTGCTAGCTTTGTTTCATATGATAAGCATAAGTAATAATAAATGGGGATCAACATTTATTTTCAACAAAATGTCTTATTTTTTTAACTCTTACTATAGAACAAAAATGTAATTCATAGCAAGCTTTTAAAATTAAAATGATGTCACTCTACCACTGATGACTAACATTACACCAAAAGAATAAAGCCCGCCAGGCAATAAAGCTGGTCTCTCTGGATTTTCTGTCATTTGTTTTTGAGACAAGCTCACTTCCTGTAGCTCTCCACTAAAACAACACCTAGATTCTAGAAGTCCTAGAATTGACATTCATGATAGGGAAGCACTTTGTAACCAACAAAATACTGAAAAACAGGTAAGGTGTCTTCACAGCTGCTCCACAAAAACGTCCTCATTTAAAGCTTCTCAAAAGAGTTCCACTTGTTTGAACAGTGGAATACATTCCTGACGTGAGGAATGAAAACCTACTGTGCCTTGTTATCGCACATCAGTCTCTCCTGAAAGATTGGGCAGACCTACACAAAGTCTATACAGACGGAAACACAAATGAAATAAAACTGAATCAAGATTACCACTGATCACAAGCTTAACACCCTTCCAAAGACATTCGATAGGGGCTTTGAGCAGCTAAAGTAAATCATAGATAAGATACAGAAGACTGGTGCTTCAACTTTTTAATTTAATATTGACCAGTAGTATTTGCATTGAATGACTGATAAGCATCCAAATATGTCCTGATTAAATCAAATAATATTTGGCAGGTGTAATGTTTTTCTTTATCCATTGGTTAAACTGAAAGACTTTTTTTAAGCTGTATTCCTACTTTTACCTTAAATGAATATTTGAAGATTTTATTGATTAAACATGTTGTTACTGCAACAGTTGTCACATGACGAGGCAGAAACCCAGGAAGTCCAACGAAATGTTGCTTAATCAATAAGACACAGTCGGTCAATCAGTCTAGTTATTAGGCGGGTCGATGACCTCAAGTGTACTGGGCAAAGGAATTCAGTGAAACATCAAAATGACTAAAGCAGCCCTTAATCAACACAGTAACAGTTACTGCTACGGACACAAAGCGCACCATTCTTTGATGCTCTCTGTAAAATAAAAAGAAACATTGACTGCCTTCAATTCTTTTGCAGAGCAAATTCAAAAGGGAGAACCTAAACTGCTAAAACTTTGCATTCGTGTTTTCAGAAAATTATGGTAATTTTAATGCGGAAAAACCAACAGAAGTCTGGGCAGGAACTTGTTCCTGTAGCAAAACACACCCAAGGGGTGTGCAAGACTGAAAGATGTTCTGTTATTTTGGGTAGATTATTTTATGTATCAGGGCGGCAAGATCAAACTGGACTCTTGTCAAGTGTTTGAGAAAGTGGTTAACACAAAAACTGGGGCTCAGATCTTCTTAGAAGTTGATGGGCTGAAACTTAAATAAAATCTTGCACCTATTTTTCCATTATAGGCATTAATAACAACACTGCTACATCCAATCTTTTTATTTACATAACACAGCTGCTTATGTATACAATAAATCCCGAACACCTGAATTTCTACTGTAATGTACCATGGCTAACATTCCAGCTATGCTAGAACTGGAGATAAGTACATGTTATTTTCCCCACAGTAACACAATAAAAGCCTTAATTTCTTATGAATGAGCACATTTTGCAAGAGAGGACAATATCTGAACAACTGTTTTAAAAATAAAACAGTCTACAATTTTATTTAGAAATGTCTGTGCTGGTTCTTTTCTTACATTTAATTCGAAGTTGTTCGGGTGGAACACTGGAAAACCCCTGGAGCCGCAGAGGGGAATGTCAGTGAACCGGTCAGTGAAGAGAGTTGAACATGAAAGATGTCACTATTCACGATGACTAATTACAGGTTCAAGGCATCTTCAACATCATTCTCTTAACCCCTGAAGACAGGCCAACATAGCCATTGTTCAGCACAAGAAACTCGAGCATCCAAAGCACCAATTAGTTCAGTACAGAACAATGAGACGATAAAAGGTTTAAATTACATTTCTGCATCATGTGGAATTACTTCTCTGCATTGTGCTCTGGTTACCTCCCACCTCCCAAAGAGTGCAGTCCCAACCTGTGGCATTTTTTATTTGATTTGATCAAAAGACAGGCTCTGGGTTGCCATAATCCTGACCAGGAATTAATGGCTTTCTGGTCATGGATGGACGGATGGTGATATTGATACAGTATATTTAAAATCACTGATTCTTATGCCACTTTTCATCCCCAAAGGTCCAAAAGTGCTTTTAAATGGTATCAACGATTTGATGATGATGATTTTTTTTTAATTGTGCAATTTTTTTAAACTTTCTGCATGAACATCAGTTTATGCTTTAGTAGTCCAGTTTCCCATGGCAAGATTTTAGTCATAGGATCGCTCATTAAGCCTTTATTTTTCCAAGTTCTGAACTAATTTACAACCTTAACAATTGTGTTCTGTCACCCATGTCCAAAGTTTAACTGGATCAGCTGGCACATGAGTGGGATTTTCTGGTAGTCCCTGGCAAATAACTTTTAAAGCAGGACAGGATAAAATTATTTTTCTGTTTCGGAAACCTAGATATGTTAGGTGATGCGCAGCAGCCTTTGTATACCAACAACACCCCCCAACACAGCAGGTCAGACACGGAAGTAAGAAACTGCTTCATTGGTTGACTGAGGGGGTAACATTAGGCAGTCCAGACAAACACAGAGTGACATTAAGCCAGTACACTGGGGTTAGTAAAATATCTGCAAAACCATCTGGAAGTTACACTGTGAAATTTACTGGAACTGTATGGTCTAACTCTTGTACGAGTTCTACACCATTTACATCAAAGACAGTTACAGACTCCATTTAGGCCAAATATGAGTGTCTTTAACCATAATAACTAACACAAATTAAACTCTGGCATGAGTACATATAGGTTTTAGGGATTGAAGAAAATGTCATAATTAACTGACCAAATGCCAAGCAGTACTCGTCAGAACGGTATCTTCTGCGGGTGATTAAAAGACCCCTGAAAGCCACAGCACTTCAGCATCTGGCACTCACTGCACAGCTTGCACAAGCCTGTAGACGTCTCCTTAGACAGGTTAATTGAACTGCCTCCCCAAGAGCCATCATTCTCTTACACTGGTTCCTCATTTCAGCTGCTCTTCGGGAACGAAATGCCCACAGCACTAAGGCTGCATTCATGTTACATTTCTTCTTCGAACAAAGTTGGAAAGTGTCACATAGACCTTTGCGGACACTAGTTTAACAGGTACTTTAAACAGTATATGGCCCTCCATGTTTACATGATTTTTAGATACTTGGCAGTCTCTCTAGCTGCAC